TTTCAAAAAATAACAACTTTCATTGTCACATATAGTCTATGTCTGTAAACAGCTTATTCATAAATTACAATAATATCAGGTCTTCAATTTGTCTTTCTCATATTTGATGGACTAGGCTCTTAGTGATAAGTGGGGTTTAGAGAATCCATTTCTGTTGTCCAGTCATCAATTTCTATGTAATAGGTTTTCCATTCAAAACAAGATGGAGCCAATGCTCTAGATGATAAGTCAGTGGAGGTCAGAGGTGAGCTGCAAAATTCTGCTCAATCATCATTGCAGTTAGAGGCATAATTGAATAGTTTTGTTCTTTAGAGTAATATGGGCATCACTGCATAAAGTTTTAATTTTAATATTTTAATATATTCATGTGTGGTATGTGGTGTGTGGTCACTAAGCATATATGAACAAATACTCTAAACTATCCTGAATGAAAGATGAATGATGATGATAATCATGCCAGTAATAATATTAATTATGCACAGGTGCAACCAATTGATCAATCCATACTTTCAATATTGAGAACAAAACATGATGTATATCATTCAGTTGTGTCAACCAGTCCTCTGGTCCATCTGGAACATTCTTCATCTCTGCCATTCAACAGATCTGTCACTGTTGTTCTGCCTTGCCCTCCAAATCAAGAAAAAAGAAGAGAGGGCATGGAGACAGATCCTGGGAGAGCAACGAGTGCTTCTGTTCCCAGAGTTACAAGTATTCATTATTTCCGGTGAGAAATAAGAAGGAACACATCCTTGAAAAGAATGTACATTGTTTAGCAAATTTCTAAGGTAGACCAGGAATTCATTAGTTATTTGCAGTCGTCGTCTTCAGCTTTTCAAATTTAATTATGGGGAGGAGGCAATCGTTCTCTTCTAACATCTCCATGTAGCTGGAGAAAGCCTAAAGAGGAACTGTAACAATGTTTGGCTCAGCCCCGTTAAACTTTTGTAATGGAGAGAATGGGAGACTTTCCCGTTCGTGGCTCCCAGATGGAGGGCACATGGAGGATTGTAATGTATGTATGTTGTTACAGTGCTGCTTCAGGCTTTCTTCAACAGTCACAATCAGTTGCACATAAGGAAGTAGGGCCAGAGCATGACTTCCTGTCTCCACATCGTTTGTTCAGGAGGCTTGTCTCTACACCCTTCATGTATAATTTTGTTGTGTACAGTTATCTGGAGCCAATGTAAGGGGTAGTGGAAGTCACAACTTGGGATCGATGAATCCACAATAGGGGGGAAGATATACAGTCTATGTAGTTCATATCAAGAATATTGCATAGTTCCTTCCTAAAGTTCATAACATCTAATTATTCCATACACCTGGCTGGCGCTTTTAGGAACTTTGGACCCAGCAATAGAGAAGTAACCAGAAAAATTCCTAGAAATATAGAAGAAAACTTTGTGCATGCATAATTGAGCAGTGTGATAGAATAGTTTATTCCTCCCAGGAAGTAGGGTATGTTTACAAAGTGGGTTTTCAACTTTCTCCTCAGTTTGGAGAAGCAGCAAACATGTTTGTTATAAAGTGGACATCAAGAGCTGAATATTTCACTCCTGATAGTAATACATCTCAGAATGGCAATTTCTGAATGATCTCTCCTTGGAGTTTCCATGGTAGATTTATTTGCCATGGGGGTATATTCTAATATAGTCCTAATGCCGGTGGGAATTTAGCTTACAAGAGGATATTGGTACAGGAAAACAAACTGTTTTTTTCAGGAACACATTTCTTCTTCTGTTGAAAAATTCCTAGTAAGATGTTGATAGACCAGAACGTGCACTGAGGCACTGTTAAGAAACCATTGTTCTAAAACAGGGAAAGAAAACATTGTAGAAGCTAAGGAAATGAACATCTTGTTTATGAGTTGTCTCTTGGTAGGTAGAAGCACAGTGGTTCTAAAAAATGCACATTTATGCAAGCTTTCCACAACCTGATGTCCTTCAGTTGTATGCACCATAACTCTCACCATCTCCAACCAGCATAACCAGAGGTTATGCTGGCTAATGATCATGGGAGATGTAGTCTAATGCATGTGGAGAGAAAAAGGATGAAGAAAGCTGATTTAAACATCTGTTTGTTGAGCTACGAACTGTCAGCATTGCTAACTTGAACATTAACATTTTAAGTTCATTAAAAGCCAGTCAGAACTCCTTAGCAATTTTTCCCAGGCAGCATTTTTTCCTTTATCTAATTTTAATGAAAAATAGTAGAAACCTTTCAACCCCCAGCAGATTTGGTTTTATCTATAATGAAAATTTAATTAAAATATACTAAAACAGCTTTCACATCCTATAACCCCAGCTGGCTTTCTCTTTAATCTTTCTGACTGGGGCACTTTGAGAGCTGAAAACTGGGCCCATGTATTTGTTTCAGTTAAAGGGACACCAGTTAGTAAGGATATGGGGAGCTACCTCAAAATAAAAAGTTGGTTTTGGATCACAAAAATCAGCTGGTAAGGATATGAGAAAAGAGATAATGATAGGGAGGATAGAGAGACAGAGAGAGACAGAGAGAGAGAGATATTCTTTACCATGCCTTGTGATTTTCCAGAGGTCTGAGTGCTTCCCCAAGAAAACCCAGGGAGAACCTCAAGGAACCTTTGAAAGTAGTGGGCTACAGGAACAGTGAAGAAGGATGGGTTCTGTTGGATGACACTGCAGTGCGAAATGCCAGCAACGGTCTTGTGTCATTTGAATTAGATGAACCCTTAGAGAGGTGAGATGAAATAAAGTGGGTACATGAATTGGGTCTCCCTGATCTACTCTGTACTGCATAACATTCCAAAATATTTGACACATTGATTGTGAAATTCATAATTTACTATAGGGAGCATAACATCTATTCATCCTGTTTCAGATCTTTAGTGGGAGCAGGGAGGCCGGATCATTCACTCAGTTTTCACATTTTAACTCAGTATCTGCAATGTCTCACCTTAGTTACACAACATAGGCCCCATTGGGCATAATTATTTCTAAATTAGAATTCGGTGGCATGAGGTAGCATCGGATTCTGGCTAGACTGAACCATCAGGAAGCACATTTTTTTTCATAACAAATACTGCATTTACCCTTTGAGAGACAAACATGACATTTGATTGCTTATAAATTGAATCAAATTAAATCAGTTAAAAGTCCTTAACATGCTAACTCCATGTACACTTATTGCTTTTCCCTTGCATCATACCAACAGCTACAATTTGGCAACAAGTTTGGAAGTTGGTTTGTGGACCACACCCTTGACATAAGGCTGCTGGTGAATTTTCATATCTTCATTTAGAAAATTTCTACCTCACTTTCCTTTATTAAATGATTCTCATGTGGGGATGCATCAAGTTAAAACTATTTTGCAATAGTCTTCCTGAAGAGGTTCTCATGACTTGAAAGCCACCTAACAGTTTTAAAAATATAGAAGATAGTAAAGCAAGTAATTTAGTAGCAACCCTCAAGAGTGCAGATTTAATTGAAGCCCTGGGCATGCTCAGTGGAAGCCAAATCTCTACTTTCTTCCTTTTTATATATTTTTTTTCTTTTTATTAATTATCCCTGCAGATATGGCCATCCTATTGCAAGAGTGAAACAACTTTTTAATGTTATTCTTGACTTGATCAAAACAGGAGAATCAGGTTTAGAATCATAGAACCATCGAGTTCAAAAGGATCACAAGGATCAACTAGTCCAATCCTGCAATGTGCAGGAAGTCAATTTCATCATTCTTAAGAGGTGGCTGTTCAGTCTCTTCTTAAAACCTCCAGACATGGAGAACCCATATCTGGACTGACTGAAAATCCCATCTCTCTTATTGAAGAAGGCAAAAGCCAACACTTGTCTAATTTAACTGCTGTAGTTTTCCATGTGTATTGGATTCTACAGCATCATCTTATCATCTACAATGTTCTCTACTGTTTACTTAAGTTACAAGTTGCTGGTGTGAACATAGTCTTCATTTTAATGCAGATTTATTATTGTTCGCCTATCTTCTGCTATGGACAACACACATCTCGTTCAGTTTATTCAGAATCTGGAAAATTCCATCCACAACATTATGGTGAAAGTAGTACTATGCCAGAATAAAGAAGACTGTTACAAGATCACTGTCTTACTGGTTCCATCCAAGGAATTAAATGTGGAGCTTCAATGTCTACATGAGGAGGGATATTCTGGCCCTCCAGAGCCTTCTAAGCCATTTAAAATGAGAGGAGAGCAGATTTACTTTAGATTCAGTGGAAATATTTTTGCTTCAGGTAAATCAATTTTAATGCATAATTCCATTCTGCACAAAAACACCATTGCTGGGTATTGGTCATGCTGTTTAGGCTTTATCAATGAGCCTTTCAAAGATAAAATGCTTATTTTTGCTTTCTTGACAGTGGTATTTTGTGTGGCCAGCTTCTTCAGTCCCTTCTTATAATAAGCACTCCATTGTTTTGTGAATTCAACGTATTAATGGATTTTATAATTTAATGCTCCTGATATTTATAGGGTTTTAATCAGTTCTACCATTAAGGTCCTGTTCAGACAAGCAGTTTGCAGTGACAGGAAAGAGCCATTACAATTTCCAAAATATGTGGGTTAGAGGTTTCTGTGTTTCCACAATATATATAAGGCA